CAATAACTTGCTTCTCTAACAATATTATTCAATTATATATAATCATAATAAGCATAAAATTCGAAATAAAATTATGTTCCATCCTTCTTCGTTTATCCTTAAACAATTTAATTCTTATTCTCCTCTCAAAAATTAAAAAATCATTCAAGTCTTACCATCCTTAATTGATGAATATTTCCTAATCCCATATATCAATTAAAAAAAAAGCTCTAGTTCATAACCCCATTCATAACATTAGTTTCTAAAATTATTTTTCTAAAACTGATAATAATGGTATTACCCAATGAAGGTTATAGGGCGTTCAACATTTATCAATTGTTTTAAAGGAAATGCTAAAATTTATTGATTAATAATGTAAAACTTTTCATTAATTCCTTGAAAATATATGTATATATATATGAATTGCATTTTTTATTCTGGGAAGCCATATTTTGGGAAATGGGTAAAAAAAAATATGGAAATATCCCAAAGTTTTTGATTGGTCAACTAGTTAATTAAATTATTCTCAATTTTTTACAAGAACAATAATAAAAAAGAACGTATAAAATGGATTTTGATCCGTCACAAAACGATTCTCAATACCCAGAAGATTATTGGGGTCAGGGTGGTAATGAATCATTCATTAAAGTTAAATTAATATATATCATTCATCAATAAATAATTGTAACTAACAAGTCTATTCCTTATACACTTACAGTAAACCGTGCTTCAGAATTAGCAAATAATTTTTTATCTACTCTAAATTTCTCTGCCGAAAGAAGTGACGATGTATATATAAGAACTGAAGAAGCTGCTGATCAAATGGGTATGTACTTTTTTTAAAAAAAAATCCAAATAAAGGTTTAACCTTATTATAATTTGAAATTAATATTATCATATATTTCATAATTTCACATACATAAATCTTTTTTCTTTGCCCCATTTGAGAGAGGGAAAATTCAAATAGTTATGACTATATCTATAGTAATGATTTCTTATCAAGCCCCAATTATAAATTATTTAATTAGTTAATTAGTCAGTTAATTAATTAGTTTGTTAGTTTAATAGGCATGATGAAAAAAAACCCCCAAACAACAAAAAGAATCATTTATTATTATTATCTTTTATATATATTTTTATTTTATTTGGGGAAAATAGTCACTAATGTCATTATGTCCTCTTTTATTTTTGTTTTTATTTTTATTCTTATATTATTTGGTCAATGATCACATATAGTAATGAGATTTCTTCTCTTTCCTTA